CTAGAAACCTTAGAACAATATGCATCCCGACACGGAAATCACAGCGCCCCCTCCCCCCAATGCACTCACCGCCGTGGAATCACAAAAGCCGTGATAACGATGTCTGTCAAATGGCTCTATGCTTATAAAGTTTCTGCAGACGACGCGGCAGAATAAATACGACGCCACCGTAATAATACCCCGTACATGAAACGCCGGGGACTTAGTGGAGTAAAGGATTTAGAATTGTTAGCTTCGAAATTACAGATTGCCATACCGTACTTTTAGAGCAAGAGCCCACGACGGCCAGACATACGTCATTTTAGTAAACGTGAAAGTTCTTGTATGTGTGTCCCCAACACAGGTAAGAACGATCCCCAAACATGAAACCTGGATCGTGGTTCCTTTGGCAGGTACCAGGTAACAAAGGTGTAAAAAATACATCCATATTTTCATATATTGTTCGTAGCATTATTATAACTTGCGCTGCTCATTGCCAGACACTTAGTGTGGTTCCAACCCCCCGCCGGACCCCCCTAAACTATACTATTTTAGAATTAAACTTACGTCATAGAATGACGTAAGTTACCAAGAAAACTGTCTGGCAATTTAGGAAACTAAGTTTAATAGTTCTCTCAATAATATATATAAAGTTCAGCTTTATTAAAATGACGTAAGTTTATTATTATAAGCCAAAGGAACCACGATCCAGGTTTCATGTTTGGGGATCGTTCTTACCTGTGTTGCACGCATACAAGAACTTTCACGTTTATTAAAATGACGTATGTCTGGCAGTCGTGGGCTCTTGGGCTATTTGTACGTTGTATTGTATTGACGACCTCCGTGGTCTAGCGGTCTAGCACACCGCTTTACGTCCGATTGTCGCTGATTCGATTGCTCGCACGGCACAAACATTTGTATTCATGAGTATGATTGTTTGTATCGGTCTGTGTGTTTTCTATGTATAATATGTATTTACGAAAAAAAAATTATCTATGGACTTGTATCAGTTGTCTAGTACCCAATAACAAGCTTTAGATAGCTTAACTTGGGGCTAGATGGCGCTGTGTGAATTGTCTACTGAACTGTTGTTATTATCATTATTAAGAAATTAACTGGCAATACCAGTGTCTGAGAATAAAATAATGCCACCGTTGTTTCGTGTTTTTAGTTTCATTCCCAGTTACTTGTAGAAATAGAAATAAATTTAATATAAGCATTTTTGAATAGTCATATTTTTCTATTCAACCACTCATTCGGAACGCAGACTCAACACAAGAAGAACGATTATATTATTATATTGTCTGTAGGCTACAATCCTACTTGCATTCACAACAGACATATAACACAAATACATTTACTGTAAAATGTGACAAGAGTGGATAAGATAAGGAATGAATACATTAGAGGAAGTATGAAAGTGGCGCCGGTGTCGGAGAGGTTGAAGAGTAATCATCTGTAGTGATATGGACATGTAATGCGTAGGAATGAAGATCATATTTCAAGGATGGTGTTACATATGAATGTAGATGGTTATAAGGGCAGAGGAAGGCCGAAAAAGAGATGGATGGATTATGTGAAAGATGATATGGTAAGAAAGGGAGTAAATAACGCGATGTGTTTATTTGTGATCGGTGTAATGTTTTTCTTTTCCATTCATCCCTGTTCGCAGTCATCTCGTTATTTACTCTCTTTCTTACCATATCATCTTTCACACAGTCCATCCATCTCTTATTCGGCATTTCACTACCAGTTTTAAGGACATCCACTATGTAATACTCTCCTTAAAATATTATCTACATTCCTGTGATTATACTACATCGTCAAATTCAAAATATCTTTCTCTTATATTATGCAAAATCTACCGTCAGTTCGGAATGATTTCGACATGAGAATAACTGACAAGAAACTCAGCTCGTATTCTTTTCAAAATAATGTTACACGTGTTTACAATAATACATATTCATTTTTAAATTCATACTTGGGTGAATATACTGACCACCAGCATTTGCTTGATGAGTTCTTATTATACAGGCGATAGTTTGTGAGTATGGATATTTATTACTCTTTCACGCAAAATCTACTGAACGAATAGTGACGCAACTTTATAGTAATAGAGTTTATTCAGGTACATCAGAAGAACACATAAGCAATAATTTCAAAAGATATTATGCAAATTGGACGAAATATATAATGATAAGTGACATGTAAGTGAGACGAGTTGCGAGGGTCAGCTATAATATATTTTTATTCACCCTGGGATGTAGAGAGCGCGACGCTGAGATGTCAAAGTTTCCTCGATGTCAAGAACTTTTAAAACAAATAACTCGTAGCGAGACAAAGCCAGCAACAGTTGGTTGTAGCACGTACACAAACACGAAGCTCAAAACAGCTGATAACTTGCATTTCCTCGAAAATACACAATTGCACGTACGTCTCGATTTGCATTTCGTTCTGCTGATCTGTTGCCTGATCAGCAGAATAAAAATGCAAAACGTGCCACTATTTTTCAATGCATCAATTTTTCTCTAACGAAATGTATCAGCCCGGGGAGGCAAACCATTGTCGCTTTTGTCACTTTTCATTAAATTGCATCTAAGCAAATTTTACATGCATTCAATAAAAACGTCATGTTAACACTTACAATACGAATTTGGAAGTTAGTCTAAACCGAGAATTTTTATGGCTAAATAAAAGTTAATGACAAAAGGAACAGGACCTGTTTATTGAAGATTTTTTTTTCTACATCTTTTATTTAAAACACATATTACCAGCATATGCTATTGCAAAAGCAAAAACTCTAATCAGTGTTCATAACCTTAACAGTATTTCAATAATATGACATCACGAGTACATATAGTACTCAAAGGCAAGCATCAGTCCACACTCAATCATTTATACATCGTAGCAACCAGATTGTTTGGTCACACCAAACAAGCATATGGCTTACCTAGGCCTATGCACGACAAAAATCTGCAGATTCTGTCAAACTGAAAAGGAAACGCCGCTACACATCCTAAGTCGTTGTAACCCACTCATGCATAAACGTAATATCTCCTTTGGAAAGTTTACACTCTTTCCCGAGGAGATAAAAACCATCGCTCCTAAGAATATCCTTCAATTCTTGTCCCTGACGGGTCTAGGGAACTCTGAAAAAGGGCGAGGACAATAGATCTATGCAGCTCGCAGTGCTACAGGTGCAGGTATCTGATAATAACCCAAACAACCCAATAAAAAATTGTTCAGAGTAGACTCATATAATTTTACTGAAATGAATATGTTAATTCTTGTGCCTTATTGATGAACAAGACGAATCTGTCATCCCCATATGAGAGGACTTCGTTTTTCTTTTGTTTTTTTCGGGCTACATAATGCTGTTTGCCGCAGCTGGCCTTTACAGCTTCACCGGACGTTAGGGGGCGAGTGCAGATGGCACTCCAAACCCGCGGAAGGACTTATGAAGCGGCTGAAGGCCAACTCCTGCCTGACGGATCCGACTTTAGTCTGAGGGCACCACTAGGGGCAGGGGTAGGCAACTTCGGCTCAGGCCGTCGTAATATCGATCTCTGTTTGAATTTGACGGTGGGGCGGTCTACGTGCCGATATATACAGAGGGTATTTCAATTATTGAAATGGATCTCCGAATGTATTCGATTTCATGCAAACGGCTTTACCACGTTACCAGACGCTACCTATAATAACGTACGGCTGGCTTTGCTTTGTGCTCGCAAACGTCACGGACAGGCATTTTGTCATATAGGTACACATGCTTTTAATTAAACTAGTTGAGAGGTACGTGTAAGTTTACTAAACAACTTAGTTCCCAAAGATCGAGTTCGAATCTGAGCTACTAATTGTTGTACGTTAATTTATACTTAATACAGTCTTGTAGGTACGATATGAAATATCAGGTAACATATAGAAAATAATATAAAGAGAAATAAAAACTATTGGTCCCAACACGAACTGCAAACTTATATATACATATGAATAAAATTGGAGTGTCTGTTTGTAGTATTTAAATAACCGTTTTTACTACATCCGTATGAATGTAAATACGGTACATACACCAAAATATCATTTTTTACATTTTTTATCTGTCTGTCTGTTCCGGCTAATCTATGAAATGGCTGGACCGATTTCGACGGGACTTTTTTTGGCAGGTAGTTGATTTAATAAGGCGTAATATAGGCTATTTTTATTTTGAAAAATTCTTTTATTTTACAAAAATATAGGTACCTTCCACGCAGACTAAGTCGCGGAAACAGCTAGTTACTAAATAATATTACTCCCTAGACAATTCACACAAAGCCATCTAGTCAAAAGACAAGTAGAGTTAACTTTTGTCTCGGATACTAGACACCTGATACAATTACTTAAATACTTTTTTTGTGAATACATACATATAATAATATACATAAAAAAACACCCAGACCGGGTTCACTTTAGTTTGTATAACAATCGTACTCATTAATACAAAAGTTTGTACCTTGCGAGGAATCGAACCCGCAACCATCGGAAGTAAAGCGATGTGCTAAACAGTTAGATCACCGAAGCCATCAATAAGCCACTAAAAACTGTTGCTAATATACCTGATTGTCCGCTCCAGAGGCACTGGATAACGTTGCATTGTGGACCCAGTGCTTCTGGACGTGGACACAGGTACATGAATTAAATTTATCTACGTATATGTATATTATAAGTTACTAACATAGTTTTATAAGTTTTTTACTAACACTATATGGATGTAATTCCGAATTAAAAATAAATAAATAAATAAGAAATATATATATATCCTGAATGTGTATTGCAAACCAAACAAATAATAGGATTGTGTGCATGTGGTTTTCCAACGAGACTGCAGCATGGGGTTTTTCAAGAAGGATATATTAAGGTTTCTTAAGGGTTGGCTAAACGCATGTCACACCCTTGGTGTTTTAGGCGTCCATAGGCTACGGTGACCATTTACCATCAGATGGGCCGTATGCCACCATAGTAGTATGAAAAATGTGGTTTCTTACCTCTTGTCCTTCCAGATTGCAGGCGCTACTGTTGAACCGCATCAATTTGACGGTCTTGTCGTTGGAGCCGGTCGCGAGGAGATCGCCAGCCGGACTCCACGCAAGGCAATAGATGCTGCCTTTGTGATGCTTGGTTCGCTTGAGGAGTACTGTCGGGGCTATGGGAGCACTCGTGTCCCTGTAACAAAACAGGTTTAAACTTTAGTATAACTATTTCATTAATATATAATATTTATTAATGTACTATTAGGCTAAAAATCAGTTTTAAATTACAAGTAGGACCTACACGGAGAAAAGGAATTTTTATATTTTTATTGGATCGATTCGTATGGTGACTATTTCAAAGTCAAATGAGTGAAAAAATAACAAATAACGTTTTTTATATATTTTTATTATTTGTAAAATTAGCTTTAAATATTTTTAGTTAACATATTTTTAATATAGTTAGGATATTTTTCAAAAACAACAACTTACAATACAATTTTTATAATGGAGTTTGACTTTTTGCATTTATACCACTGTTGAACTAGGGGCATCGCAGGTCTAACTTTAGACCATAGACGAATCACGGTTTAGAGATAAACTTATTTTTCTAATAAGGAATACTTTGGTCAATGGTTTATTACTGGTGCTAAACCAGGTTTATCTTTTTGTTAGTAGAGGTTGCAAAATCTCTGGGGGCAAGAGTTAATGGATATCGAAAAAAAGCTTAAACTGATATATATTTAAAATTTTAGGAGACGTGGTACAGCTGAATCATCTAAAAATGATGTTTTAAGTTTGACGCGGTCATTATTTATAAGTATAATTAGTAAATCACGGGATCTTACCACGTTTTATTTTTATTGAGTTCCCGATATATAAAACGTGGTAAGATACCGTAATTTCCTAATTATACATCTATAAATGGTCTGTTATGTTTTGATAGAATCTAAATAATACTTTATACTAATACTTTATATTATTTTTTATGGGAAAATAGTTACAATTATAATATGGACAGGGCATTGTTAAAAAAGAGTAATTGGAATAATAATAAAGTAAATAACAATTACTTTACCTCAAAAATGAATATTATTATATAATATTCATTCTCTTAGTTCTATAAACAAATAAATACAATTACAACCTAATTTATTTTGATGAAACTTTACACTAATATAGCTTATGCATCGGAATAACACATAGTCTATATTTTATATTGAAATGTAACGCGAGTGTACCCGCGGGCACAGCTAGTCATATCATACACGCTTAAATTCCGCATCCATGCTCAAAAACTAAACTAAAACTAAAGTTTTTCATGGATGTTTGTTTTTCTTTCACGCAAAATCTACTGAACTGGTTTTGACGAATCTTTACGGTAATACAGTTTACACATCAGAACAACATACGGTCTATAAATTACATGCGAGTGAAACCGCAGGCTCAGCTAGTAATATCATTACACATAGTAAAGAACAAAGTCGCTGTCTGCCCCAATATATGCTTAAATCTTTAAAACTAAATGATTAAAAAGCAATGTTTTTTTAAATAGATAGAGTGATTCAAGAGGAAAGTTTATATGTATAATACATGTACAGCCTTGCGAAGCTAGTATAATATAAAAGCAAAAAAAATTAACAGGATTCTGAGAAATATTACATATTCCAATAGAAACTCCCCTTATAAGGGGTGGAGTGGCCACTTCAAATTTATTTCAGTCTAACGAGCATGCCGGCAAGACAGGGGCCCAGGGAGACCGATATGAACGAATAAAGACGAGACGGTAAGGTTCGTTTCAATCACTTTTCATATTAATAACTGCATCGACATATATTGCTTTATTACATTTTATCAAATCTTCCTGGCACGGTTCATTCATTCATAATTTAAGAGCTGTACTTGTCGGTGGAGCTCCCGCCACGTTCCACGATCTTCTATCAGTCCTTTTACCTGTTGATACGACACGACTCCAACTTTCTTTAACTTGCTTGATACAGCTGTGTCTTGGTCTTCCGCTTCCTCTCTTTCCATCTATTTTTCCTTCAATAATGTTGTTAATTAGTTCGTCGTGTCGTATCATTTCGCCAACATTTTTCCCCGCCTGTTCTCAATAATATCTACAATCTGTCTGTTTTCTTTAACCCTTTCAAGCACTTCTTCATTCCTTAATTTATCTTTCCAGCTAATTCTTTCCATCCTTCTCCAACACCACATTTCAAAGACAAAGTTTGCATGCATGGTACTGAGAATACATTCGATAGAAATACAAATAATATCACTTTTCGTTTAGTCACATTATTTTATTCTACCACCCATCGGAGCGCACCCTCATCACGAGAAGAAGCAGCAAGAAACTTGGGTGTTACTCTGTTGCTTTTTAAATAAACGTTTACATATCATAACCTACCCAATAGCAATTGTTAATAAACAAATAGTTACCTGAGTAGCAAAATAAATCAGTAATAGTTATTGGAGTATATTCGGAATGCTGTCTCATCACAAGAAGAACAAGCAAGAAACTTCTTAAGTTTAAGTGTGTGAATACAAACCACCGATTAGCACTAATTCAATGAAATAATAAAATAGAAAAAACATTCAATATACAACAACTGGTTAAACAATTAATAAGAGAAAATAAGTCATAGTGATTAGAGCAGACCAGTCCACACAAGCAGCACCCGTTCACGAGTATAACGGGTGAGACAGCCACCACTGCCCTCAACCATATTTTAGGGTGTCCATTGACGTGTCCCACCACGTCACTAGCTGTCTGGACATTTAAGTGAGCATGACTCGTGACATTAGACCACATCACAACTATGCATTATGTACACATGTTCCAGTAAATAAATTGAAATTGAATTGAATTGCACGCGGATGGGTACATGTATTATACATATAAACCTTCCTCTTGAATCACTCTATCTATTACAAATACTTCTTTAAAATTCATTGTGTAGTTTAAAAGATCATAGCGACCAGACAGTGGAAACGAACTCATTTTATACTAGCTGAGTCCGCGACTTCATTCAAGTGGCTATCAAAAACACCATCATTTTCCCCGTTTTGTCAACATTTTTCACTGATGCTTCGCTTCTATTGCTCGTAACGTAATGTCATATAGGTTAAAGCCTTCCTCGACCAATGGACTATCGACCACAAAAATGTTTCAATTCGAACCAGTAGTTCCTAAGATTAGCGCGCTCAAACAAACAAATTCATCAGCTCTATAATATTAGCACATATAAAGATTTCGAAGCTGTGGCATTCACACAATACACATTAACAAGAAGGAGGCATGCGACAAACATCATAGAAACTATCACAGAGTATCAAGGATACAAGGACACTAAACAATATTTCAAACAGATTATAACCACGACTCGGTCTATTATTATCTTGTTGTCATACAATGTCGATACAGACGGCAACGTTGGATTCCTAATATAACTCTATGTATAAGTTGCTAGTGATACCGCCTCACTGCTAGCGGAGCGAATATATTTACTACTATATTATTTTTTTTAATTATAACAATTATTACTTTTTTTTACATGGGAGAACTTTTTACAGAATATGTTGTCAAATCTAGCTCCTACACGTCACCGACTATTTTAGTAATTAGTTCATATAAAATTCCGTACAGCGTCGTATATTTATTGTTGTCGTTTGATTATTATTAATAAATGTCATCTACCAAATGAGCACCAAATTATATCCGTCAGGCAGGAGTTGGCCTTCAGCCGCTCCATAAGTCCTTCCGCTGGTTTGGAATGCCATCTTCACTCGCCCCATATCGTTCAGTGAAGCTGTAAAGGCCTGCTGCGGCCAAAAGCAATAGTGTAGTCCGAAAACAGAAAATTGTAGGAGCTGCTAATTCTCATATACATATAAGTAATTCTATAAATCGTAACAATAGCATTCCGCTCGCAATGTAACCAAACCTTAAGCGTTGAAGGATTTGAGTCTATCCGTACAAAAGGTTGTCGGTTGTCTATGGCTATGTTATTGGTACGTTTAAATCGAGTGCTTCTGTTAACGATATTGCATTAATAAATACGTACATATGAAAATTATAATCACATATTAACTCGATTAATACAAATATTCTTCATTCAGATAAACTTAATATAACTTTTGAATAGTCATATTTTTTTATTTTACGAGTCATTGGGAACGCAGACTCTTCACAAGGGGAATGAGCGAGAAACTTGTGTACTATTACAATTTTGATTGAATGTTTTTTTTAATAAATACACTTTAACAGGACGAGGCATGTGACAAGGAAATCGCTACGCACTCATTCTTTGTTTAATCAAAGAATATACATATATAAGTAATATATAAAACGTAACAAAATAACGCTATATTCTTTACGTTTTTTTCAACAAAAACATTAACAATTCTTCAATGTTATAATAAGTTATTTTAGCTAATCGTTACATGTGCAATTAATCAATCAAGTAAGTAACCTTCACAATATACGAATCATTATAAATGGAAGTATCCATATCGAAATCTATTACTCAGTAACAGGAAATAAGCTTATAAAAGTCAATAAGGTGAAGGACGTTTGGGGATGTTCCTTTACTTTTCTTTTATACAATATTTCCTTATAAAGTATTTTTAAATTGTTTGAAATACATAACTTTTCTCCTTATTTCCATTAAAATACCAAGCGTATGTAGAGATAAAAAATAATTGTAGTATAGAGATATCCATACATTCAATATGAAATTAAAAAATCTGTTATCCATGTAGGACATTTTAGTCGTTTACGAATGACAAGTTTTTTATAATTAATATTTTTTCCCTTACGGTCCAGTTCATAATAACATTATAAATGAAAACTATGGAGCTGAACAGATCTTAATGAGACTTCATGTGAAATTGATATAACTAGAACGGGCATAAGCTATACTAAAGATAGCATTATAAAATTCCAGGTAACAGCTAGTATATTCAATACTAGCTGTTCCCGCGACTTCGTCGGCGTGGAATTTAACTTTATTTTTTTAAATATAAGTAGCCTAAGTTACTCCTTATTACATCAGCTACCTGCCAAAAAAAGTCCCGTCAAAATCGGTCCAGCCTTCAGAGATTAGCCGGAACAAACAGACCGACAGACAGACAGAAAAAAATTATAAAAAAATGTTATTTTGGTGTATGTACCGTATTTATATTCATATGCAT